TCCAACACCTTAGCCCCACTAGTTACTTTACCCACCCTTTGCTGGATAGTGAACTCGACCAGGTGATGGCCACTATCTCCCAGGCTACCATGAACTCGCATGTTCCCCACGAGATCATCCCCTGTTGCTAAGACCAGGTCAAGCAAGGTGCTACCCCTGGTGAGACTAGACACCACCTGGGTTAGGTGGAGGTCCTGCACACAGTTTAAGAACCTCCGTGAGCAGCTTGTTTTGGCTGTCTGCTCCTCCCAGCAGATATCTGGGTAGTTTAGATCTCCCACGACTACCGCCTCCCTTGCCTGTGTGGTGTCTGCTAGCTGCCCGGAGAATACATCGTCTAGCTCTTGATCCTGATGAGGAGGCCTGTAGTAGACCCCCACGACCAAGTCCTTTTCCCCTGGCCCCCCCTGGATCCTGACCCACAATGCCTTGGTGTTCCCCTCCTCCAACCCCGCCTTAATGGTGGAAGACGTATACTGCTCCTTAACATAGAGTGCTACCCCCCCACCTTTTTTCCCCCACTCTGTCACACCTATACAACCTATACCCCTCAATGCCTACCACCCAGTCGTGTGTAGAATCCTTATTTTCCGCAAAAAAATAAACTTGAAATTAAGCATACTTTAATAATTGAACATCATTGAGGTAAATTGTAAAGGATGGAATCTGTAGGATTTAGGAGTGCAAAAACTGCTAATATTCTATGAGTGTTTTTTTGCTGGCCTTGACGCTGTTTAACTACACCATTCATCCACATATTAAGAACTAAATAATATGAGACGAGGGAGGAAGAGTGGATGCAGATGCAGTCTTTTTTTTGGCGCTGGGGGGGTCTTCACTGCATACTGCAGCATAATGTCCAGATACTTAAATTAGTTAGACTGCTTTTTGTAGCTCATTTATAACCCAAGCCAAGGCTTATGTTCTGTTAATTTGCTATATTTCTTGTCAAGGCAAACATTTGAACTGATGTAACTTTGCCCAGTGTCACAGAGAAATAACCCAAAAGAATCACAAGCAGAATATTTTGTGACTAAATATACTGCCATTAACTGTACCAGAAAGACTAAAGATGCCTAAAGTGTAGCTATTAACCTTAAAAATGAGGGGAGCTAGTTAGTGCTGTTGGTACTGTATTATTAGCAGAAATAACTATGTATTTAATGTAGGGCTGTCAGTTTAATCACAGTTTATATACACACGATTAACACACTACTAAGCTCGTTAATTTTTTTTAAACACGTTAATTGCACATGTGGTTTTGGAGCCTACGCCCAGGCTCTACTCTGCCACCTCTAGGCCTCCTGGGCATGGGCTCTGGGCAGCTGCAGTAGGACGGGGGGAGGCTGCAGACAACCAGCCGCTGCCTGCACACAGCCAGGAATGCAGCTCCGCCGTGTGTAGAGCAGCGCCATGCTGGTAAGTCTATGGAGAGGAAGGGTGGGGTGCAGACTGAGGCACCCGCAGTGAGGGAGAGAGTGGGGCAGAGGCAGGTACTGGGGTGAATGGGGCCCCAGGGTGGCATGGATCATGTGACGGAGCCATAAGAGGCTCATCGAGGGGTGCAGCTCCTTTCAAGGGGAGGCATGGATGGCAAGTGCTCCCAGACTTGTACATGGGGTAGAGACGGCTTGTCTGCTGCAGGCTGGAACTCTGTGCCCTTGCCTTTGCCCTGGGAGCTGCATGCTGGCTGTGCTGCATCCCCTGCCTGCCCAGCAGTGGGAGGCACAACATGGCATTGCACAGCTCCCAGGGCAAAGGCAGCAGGGTGCAAAGCCCCAGCCTGCAGCAGGCAGTCCACCTCTGCCCTGCACACACATCCTAGCGGCATTATCCCCTTATGCCTCCCCCTGGTGTGCACAGCAGTGGGGAGCCATGCCCCCTCCCCATCCCCCTTGTTCCCCCCCCAGATGAGCCACCCATAGCTCCATTGCATGACCCACCCTGTCCCTGCCCCAGTCCATCACCATGGGGGCCTCTATCTGCCCTCCCAGCTCTTCCCCCATCCCCGTTCCCTCCACAGACTTACCTGCTGGGCTCTGTCTATGTCTTCCCTTTGCTCTCAGCCCACAGCCCACCGCCCACCCAGCCCTGCTGCTGCTCCTCACTTCTGACCCATAGTACCCTGCATCCTGCTAGGGCGTGTAGGAACCCCTCCTTCCGTGGACTCCAAACCCCACGCACACCTTGCCCACCCCCAACCATACAAAGTACCTGTATAATTTTGCATTATTTTTAATTTCTCTGTGCATAATTTTGAGTTTTTTGCTATGCGATTAATTGCGACTAATTTTTTTTAATCACACAACTAATCGCAGTCAATTTTTTTAGTTATTTGATAGTCCTAATTTAATGAGCTTTAAGATTGTTTAAGTGCATACTCCAAGCAAGTACATAACCTTTTCTCAGTCCTGAGGCTATATGCATAAACACAGTACACTGTACTATGTTATATGTTTTACTTAACATTTAAGTTTCATGTTTGAGAATAAGATATCAAGTGGATTCTGCTTTTGTTTTTTTACCTCCTTGAGTGTTTTGCATTTTAAAACTTTTTAAAATTCTTTATTAATAGGATCGAAAACTTCTTGCCACAGCTCAGCAGATGCTCCAGGACAGCAAGACAAAAATAGAAGTCATAAGGATGCAGATACTTCAGGCAGCCCAGACCAATGAATTGGCATTTGATAATGGTGATGGTGTAGAAAAGAAATTAATTTGCTTACTAATGTCAGAATTTCAAATAGGGATATACTACTATGAACTTGTGGCTATAAGAACATTTTGGTGGAAACAGGGAAGGTCAGGCAGAGGGCAGGGTTTCATTTTTCATGAACTTGGATGGTTTGGTAAGTAGGGCATCTGTTTTCCAATTCAACCCCTGAATGCGACTTAAAAAAAATCTAAAGAATAAACACCTTCCCTTTTTTATTTGTAGCTTGTGATTTGCTTTGCATTACCCCTTAAGCCCCCATCCTTTCTGGTTTGGGCTTTTCCCTTATTAAGTTTTCATTTTTGCTCTTTTTTTTCCTTTCTTTGGGTGGGGGGGTTGGGTTTCCTTGTACTATGGAGAAAGTAGCTGCTATGTATAGACAGCAGCTTCAATTGGAATTTTTTTCCCCTGTGTAAAAAAAAAATTCAGATTAAGGACCAAACCTATTCAATTTCTCATATAGAGTGCCCAGTACTGTTAAGTCTTGTAAGAATACATGTGTGCGTGGAACCAAACTCTTACTAGTATCTGAAAATTTAGACTGAGAGAAGAAATGACACGTTTTTACAAATCCAAGCACAAAGTTGTTAAACAAAAACTCTTAAAAGCTCAGTTGAAATAGTTTTGGAAAAATAAAAAATTCCTACACAAGGAAGCTTTTACAGATAAGTTGAAGTCCCTGATAAATCATAGCATGCTATAAAACTACAAGCATATTGGTATATCCCTACATCTTAAGTCATCTTGATACCTTCTCCTTTATTAACATCTCAGGGCTTCCATTTGCTAGTGAGAGGGGAATTTGTCATAAATTTCTGTGAAACAATTTTATTTGGTCAAGCTTAATTTCTAGTCTCATGGTTGGAAAAGAAACTTTTAAATATCAGTGCTGTGCTGTCTTCTAAAGCTTGAACCTGCCCTAGTGTGGTCCCTGCCTGACACTGATCAGCTGACTATTGGCTGGATACAGGACTGCTCTGGGACTCAGATGTGTCTTGGTGCTGTCCCTGCTGGCTGACAATCGCCTGAATTCTCAGGAGTACACTGGGGCTCCAGCCAGGTGTGGTGTAGTCCCCACAGCCACAGCTGTCTCTGGGGACTGGCCCAGTTGGAGCTCTGGTGCACTCCGGTCCCAGCCAGTGATCAGTTGATCGTTGGCTGGCTCCAGGGAGTGCATCAGAACTGGTTGGAGCCCCAGGATGGTCTTGGAACCAGCCAACAATCAGATGATTTTCAAGCACCCAGCTTCCTGACCCCAAAATTGCATGTCCTTCCATGCAAGTGATGTGTGGCAGAAGGTGTAATTGTTTGGGATCATGGATCAGGTCCTGTCATGCTATGATACTATGATGCCTACCATCCACTTGCAGCCATGGGAGCGGGGAGGGGAACAGACTGTACCTGCATCTGCACCCATACCACCCGGGCAAACTCAGCTCCCTGCCCCACCCCCAGCTGGCTCCCAGGACCTAAGGCATAGGCAATATGCCTCCTCCTCCCCATCCCACCCCACCCCACCCCACCCACACACAATATACAGGAGTAAGACTTTATTTGTCAGCAGTCATGGAGAGCAGTCAGAATTTCAAGTTAATCAGATAATTATTTAGCCAGAGGCTGATTTAAAAAAAAAATAAAAATGTGAGAATTCCAAATAAGCAGGGGCAGAATGAAGTAGAAGTTTCAAAACCTGAAAAGCCTGGATTCCAAGGAATGTTTAGGAAGCTTTGTTTCTAGCAAAGACGATGTCTCCTCTCCCCTCATCTTTCATATCCTCTAGCTCAGGGGTGGGCAATTATTTTGGCAGGAGGGCCACTTGACAAGTTTTGGCAAGCTGTCAATTGCCTCAAGGGTAGCCCTGCTCCTTGATAGGTGCCCCACACCCTAGTCGCTGTCTTGGGACCAGAAGTCCTGACCTTTGCCACCAGAAATCTCTCCCCTTGCCCCCAGAAGTACTCCTTTTGGGGTGTGCCATCTTGGAACCAGAAAAAAACAAATCATATACTGAAAGCAGTGACACCACCTTTTTAAAACGTAAAGGCAGGACACATGCCTGCTTTCCACTGCCTCTCCTCTACCAATGGCTGAACCGAGTGGGATGGGGATCGATGCGGGCTCAGAGCTCCCCATCCTGCTGCTTTTTCCTGGGGAGCCCCTCACTGCCTGTGTGCCCTATGCCTGCCTAGCAGCAGTGGGATGCACAACCCCACATCACTGCTGTGCCTGCTGCTGCTGGCCAGGCATGGGGCACATCGCCATGGTTGTGCGGGTCCCCCATGGGGAGGGCAGCAGGATGGGGAACCCCAAGCCTGCATTGGGTAGCCCACATCCACCCCTGCACAAATCTGGGGGGGTACATGTTTGGCGGTGTGATTAGGTGTGTATGGTAGGGTGTGGGGGGAGTTGTGAAGGGGTGTGCTTGTGGGGGCGGTGTACATAGGGTAACGTGTGTAGGGCTGTGGGGGCAGAGTGTGAGTGTGAGAGAGTGGTGGGGTATGAGGGCCCCCCACACATCTTCCCCCCCCCCTTCCCCCTGGCTCACAGCCCCTGCTGTGGGCACTGGCAGCAGCAGCAGGTGGTGGGCCCTCGGGGTGCTTGTGGCGTGCACAGATGTTGCTGCCCAGTGGTGTGCAGCTCTAGCCAGTGCTGAACATGGTGGCAAGGAGCACAGCTAGGCCATCCTGCAGGGCTCCCTGCAGTGCACATCCAGTTTCTGGCACTCGTGTGCCATGTGGGGAGGAAACCATGCATAATGGAGCTGGCTGTCTTCCCTGCTCCTTGCCACAATGGAAGCTGGGGCTGGGGTTCCCACCACTTCTGGTAGGGTCCTGAGCCCAGCATGTGGCAGGGAAGGCAGCTGGCTCCATTGTTAGAGGCTTCCCCCAGGCATCGCGCAATTGCTGGGAGCTGCACATGTACTGTGGGGAATCCCGTGCAGTAGAGGCAGGCCGGTCTGGCTGCGGTCCTTGTCACCTCATGCAACAAGGGCCTCCGCCTGCTACTGCTGCTTCTGCTGATGGCAGGGGCTGTGTGCCATGGTGGGCGGTGTGTGTGTGCAGGGTGTCTACACCTCCCTTTCCTTCCTCACACCCACACCCTGTCCACCAAACTCTGCACTCCTGCTGCCACCCTGGGCACGAGCCCCATGCTCCCGCCAGCTCCAGCCCCATGCTCCCTGACTGCGCCGCAGCTCCTCCCACCCCCACCGCTTCCCTACGTGCTGCCCAGAGGAGTTGCACCGAGCACCTCTCCCTGTGGCAGTGGCAGCCCCACCCAGAAGTTGGGGCCCGTCCACACACAAGAGTTTGAGTGAGGTGTGTGGGCTGGGCGGGGTATAATTAATTGGATGAAATTGCCTGGTGGGCCAGATGCAGTCCATAGACCATTTTTTGCCCGCCCCTGCTCTAGCAAGTAAATTTAGTTCTTCAGGGATTGGGAATGTAGTAGATTTGTAAAGTCCTGACAATTTATTAAATGCAACATCTTTCAACCTCACTGAATTTATGTTACACTAGGATATGACAGGATTTTCATCTACAGTTTAACACATCTGTCTTTGCATGCTAATATATACAATTCTAAATACTTAGAAATTTAGAAATTGGAGATGATCTCCATTGAAGATTAAATGTGTGGAGTTTGTTTTGTTTTTTGTTTTTCTTTTAGCGAAACCTGTGATAAGCCCTCTTGAACTCCGAATGGAAGAACTACGGCATCATTTTAGGATAGAGTATGCAGTAGCAGAAGGTGCAAAGAATGTGATGAAATTACTTGGATCTGGAAAAGTTACTGACAGAAAAGCACTTTCAGAAGTAACTTTTTAATGTAGTTTATGAAATTTGATTCTAAATACTATATTAAAAAGCACATTCTTCAAATTATTCTTTTTATTTTCTGTTGAATAAGGCTCAAGCAAGGTTTAATGAATCAAGCCAGAAATTGGACCTCTTAAAGTATTCATTAGAACAAAGGCTGAGTGAACTTCCCAAAAACCACCCCAAAAGCAGTATTATTATTGAGGAACTTTCACTGGTCTCTTCACCAACACTAAGTCCACGTCAAAGCATAATATCTACACAAAACCAGTATAGTACACTGTCCAAACCAGCAGCTTTAACAGGTATGTGTTCTTTTATAATTTTTTGTTATTGTTTATTTTGGTCAAATGTGCTTGAACTCAAATTAATCTTTATAAAAACTTTTTTCTTATGTGGTAACTTTATGTTTTATTTTTAAAGTAGTCATAGAATGCTGTGGAATGGAAATACAGAATATCTGACTATATATATATGGAAATATGCTTAAGTTTGGCTTGACTAGTGTTCCATGGTGTGTGTGTGTGTAGGCTTCAGTGTTCCAAGAACATCCATCTGGATAATCTAAGTAGTTATGAAGTTTGTTATAATATATAATAACATATACTATTACATTTTATAATACTTCTCTGTATTTTAATTAAGAAAAGTTCTTGCCTTGTGTTTAACCTCTTTGGAATATTACCATTATCACTTTAGATCACTGTGCACTTTACCAAGGTGGATAAATATCACTACCCCACTTTACAGACTGGGAAACTGAAGTGCAGAAGGGTTAAGTGACTTGTCCTTCTCACACAACAAGTTGGTGGCAGAGCTGAGAGGAGAATCCAGGTCTCCTCCCCATCCCATAGTTTGTACACTTAGCTTCAGAGGCCAGATATCTGCTGTAAAAAAAAAACAAAAAACAAAAAAACCCCCAAAAAACAAACAGTGACTGTATTAATAAACTGGAAAGAACTTCAGTAGGTTCTAACAAATGCCTTTAACTTTCTTTGTTATATTGAACCATCATTGAAAAAAGTAGTTACAAAGACCATATATGAAGTCAGATTCTGTTCCCTTTACAAAACACAAGTATAAATGAATATACCTTTAGACCAAATTTGCCCTTACACGATTTGACGTAAAAATAAATAAATAAATGAAGTGGAACAAACATGAGAAGCAGTGGTCTGTCAGGTTATGGTGATGTTGGAAAGATTCTTATTCCATCAAGGGATGGAAAATGGAGTTTAAAAGTACTGTAAGTTGTTCTGAGGGTTAGAAACATTTACAGGACTCCTTTTGAAATATCCAATGAAATCATGCTGATTTATGGGAAGCCTTTGAATCTGCAGAAATTTCCCATAGATAACCAGTAACTTTAGATATAGGAGCGAGAAAAGGTTTGTTTTGGGGGGTTTTTTTTAACTTTTTCATCATCATCTTGGGTCTCAGCTAACCCGAGAGAGGTAGCAAAGCAATTAATCTTTTAAAACTGCTTGTTTACAGTGCCAGTAACCAAGGAACCCATTTTATATAGGAATTTTCAAAATAAAGGTTATGGGCTTGTAAAATACCTTAATAGGTCATTACCAGATCTTGGTTAACTGTTATGAAAGTGAAACTAGGATTTATATGGGGGTAAATTTGGCCAGTTTACAAAGACTTCACCTCTGTCATTTTGTCTTAAAATGTATCAGGAGTGCTGTTGCAATATAATATTATATATTATAAATATATTTAATGAGAAAACTCTTTACTGAATTTCTTCCTAAAATAAGAAATTTAGATTCTAACTTCTGACTGTTTGCATTTTTCCAGAAGTTAAAGAAAATAAATTGTCATATTAACTCTTTGTTTCTTTTTTGTACTAGCACAATGCTGACTGTGTTGATTTGCAAAAATAACATTGTTTATTAACCTTCTTCAGAATTCTTTTAGTAGTTTTCATTGGCTTCCAAAAATAGTCTTTTATAAGACCAAAAACTGTAAATTTGAGATCAGATTTGATTTGATGGTAGCTCAGTTTGTATACATAGATAATCATATCAATTTAATCACTTTAAGACTTTTTTTAACAACATTTTTTCCTAACCTAGCAAGATTCAAATGTTCTTGAGATTCATTTGGAAAAAAAAAACTATTTTTCTTTCATGCCTACACACTCTTATTTCAAATAGTTATTAAATGTTAAAAAATGAATCCATGTCTGTATCGAGTGACTGATAAAAGTACACTTGAGCATCTTAGTGGCTATCCATATAAATTAAACATTAACATAGCAGCCATTCATAAGCAGTCTCACATTTCTTTGCATTTAATTTAGCAAACATTTTCTTCTTGCTGATGTCATCGTTCTGTGAACTTCTTATAGTTATGCTTGTGTGAATATTCCTGGTTTGTTTGCTTAACAGGATAGTGTATTTTAATGTCTTTGTGATATACCAGTGAATTGTAATTTCTACTGAGATGCTGATTCTATGTCTGTTTTGCTGAATTTTATATTAATTTTCAGTAAATTTCCAGCAGCCTTAATTCTTACCACATAACTGTAGTAAATCTCTGGTTCTGTTTTTACTGTAAGCTTTTGTAAAAAATATGTACTTCTGATATAAAAAGTCACTGCGCATTCACTATGTGCATGTCAGACCTTAGATATGTGACAAAGGCCTTTTTTAATCTTAGGTACTTTGGAAGTTAGGCTAATGGGCTGCCAAGATATTCTGGAAAATGTTCCTGGTCGATCAAAAGCCACATCAATTACACTACCTGGTTGGAGTCCAAGTGAAACAAGATCATCTTTCATGAGCAGAACAAGTAAAAGTAAAAGTGGAAGTAGTCGAAACCTTCTGAAAACAGATGACTTGTCCAGTTGAGTATATTTTCATTTCTTTTATCAAAATCCATTGAGTGCCAACTTTTAATTTAAACCTGCAGTATTAAATATGATTTATAATCAGTTGCAACTAGATTCAGAGCAGTCACTTTAACTTCTCTTTATATAAATTCCTTTATAAAATTGCCAGCAAAACGGGTGACAAGTTTTTAAATCTTGAGGAGCTGATGGGTTTGTATTTGGGATCAGTTGCTAAGAGAGGACAGATTACAGGAATTTTAAGAATTCTGCATATTTCAAATGCTGACTGGAAGCTTTAAAATGATCTACCTCTGTCTGTCACTGAATCAAAACAATTGTTAACCCTGTATTGAATTGGTTCATATGGAGATACTAGTATTTTTAGTGACACTTTTTGTACTGAAGTTTTTGTGGGACATCTTAAACCCTTAGCTTAGTTTGTATAATTTACTTACAGATGAAGTCTGTGCTGTATTGAAGCTGGACAACACTGTGGTTGGTCAGACTAGCTGGAAACCCATTTCTAATCAGTCATGGGATCAGAAGTTTACACTGGAACTAGACAGGGTAAGGGTATTATGCTATTTTCATTGACATGACTGTCTATTCCATGGATTAATTTCCTGCTGCTTTGTGTCACTGTTCTGTTTAAATGTTAAATGGGGGTGGAAAAAACTTGTCTTGGATTTGAATACATTCAGTATATGTATCCCCTTCATAACTAGTACTCTATCTTGGTCAGCCCTAGTAAAGTTTTGGGGGGTTTTTGTTGTTTTTTTTGTTTGTTTGTTTTTTCTGTGGATCGCATCAGATCCAGTCCATAGCTCCTGCCTTAGTACCAGTTCTGGATCCAGTCACCATGGCACCACTTATGGAGGCTGCTTGCTGAAGTTCCATCTGATTCTGACTCAGAACATGGTTCTGCAGTATTTGCAGCCATGACCACAGGACTATCCAAAAGGATAGTCTTACTCTTCACAAGCCTCCTCAATTGTGGTTCAGTGACCTCAGGGTCCCTACCCTACCCATGCTGATACCGCCTTACTGGTCTTGGGGTTTTCAACCTATTATTGAAATTTGGGGATACATCTGGCTGTCTGGCATCAGAACCAAGAATATGACATCTCAGATTCTTCTGGATCATCTCCCTGTCCATTCCCCTATTGTTATTTATCTTTTGATTGTTGTTGTTGCCAATGAGAAGGCAAGGCAATTTTAGACCAACTCCAAAAGAAAAGGAGCCAAAACTTTTGGACTTACCTGGGAGAAAATCAGTCTTCTCCAGTCTCCAGATTACAATTGCAGACTTATCAAGCTGTCCTTGCCAGATATGATTCCAGTGTCTATGAGTGTATATGCCATCAGAGCCATGGGATGAAATGTGAGTTGTTCTACAAAGGGATAGGTGGTAGCAAAGACTCCTCTGGAAGCAGGAGTAGATGTTCCTGATTCTGCTTAAGTTTGTTCATGGCTATGGCAGTAAACCCACCTCTGGTTTCATAGGTCAGACTTTCCAAAGGAGATTCAAAATACAGACATCCCTACCTGATGCTTTCTTATCCCATGGTAGAGAATTCCCCTTTATGTCTCTGTGACTAGTCGATTAAAGTGAGGCAGGACTCGACCTGGATGATTCTGATAGCAAATCAGTATTGGTACCAGGACCATCGACTGATACCGGTGAGGGACTAGGTTTCTGCCTCTGGTCTTGGACTTCCTTATATAGGTTAGAAGGAGAATGCTTTGCCAAAATTGCTCTCCTTTCACCTCACAGTATAAATGCTGAAGGCCTCTCAGCCAGAGTGGGAGATGGATCTGCTCAAATAAGGGACATACTTGTTCACAGCCACAGCGATTTGAACTAGATTAATTTACATGGCAAAATGGACCAGGTTTTCCCCACTGCTGAAATTTCTTCCCTCAACATAAATCAGTGTTTATTTCAAGTATACTAGATATCTGTGAGACCTCAAGTATGTAGCCCTGTCCATCAGTTCACTCGGTGTACAGGCAACCCCCGCTTAGCACAATTTCGTTATAGTGCTAACTTAAAATACCTACTTGGTTTAACGAAACACGCTCAACGCTAAGTGATAGTGCTCAGTGCATGGGTGGGGAGAAGCAGTGGCGTTGGCGTCGAGAGAAGAGGTGTGTGTCAGCTGGCTGGAGCCTGGGAGGGGTGGCAGGAGCCTGGGGTCTACTCTGGCACATGGTGCTGGAGTAGGTGGGGAGGAGCAGTGGCGGCAGCAAGAAGGACCGGATGGCTGGCAGGCGCGTGGGGCCCAGGCCAGCAGGTGGTGCAAAACCAATTATCTTTATTTACATTAAATCCAATGGGAAAATGGACTTCACTTAATGCTGTTTTGCTTAGCGTTTGATTTTTCCAGGACCAATTAAGAGCTCTAAGCTGGGGTTGCTTGTACCTGGTGGCTATCTCAGCCACTCATCCACTGATTGATGGCTACTGTGCATTTTCTCACCTAGCATTTGCTTCATGTCTGTAATGGGACCATCATTTGAGCCTAAGGCAACATGTTCCTTGCTGTACCTTTCCATGAAAACAGCTTTTCTAGTTGCAAGTATTCTGGCAAGGAGGGTGAATGAGAACCAAGTCTTCATGGTGAATCCTCTCTGTGTAGTCTTTTGTTCAGACATGGTATCCCTAAGGACCTGCTAGCAAATGGCCTGCGATGGCTTCTTTCATTGAGAAAGAAGCTGTTTTGTTCAACCATAGGCTAAGAGCCTACATCTAGGCGGTTGCCACAAGGCCAGAGATGTGGTAGAAGTTCAAATCCTAGTTGACCGTGGGACCATTTGGTTGTTCCAATACTATGAAAACATTCCTTTTTTGCTACCACCACCTCTTCTGCCTGACCTTCCACCTCCATTTCTGCAGTTGAATGCTAGAAAAGTTAGATCCCAGGAGTGTGAGTGAACAGAAGCAACTCTGGGAACTATTACTTGTCAGTAACTTTTGGTGTCTATCTTCTGCCTTAGTCACGTGAACTAGAAATATCAGTTTATTGGCGTGATTGGAGATCTCTGTGCGCAGTAAAATTTCTGAGGTTAGAAGATTTCTTAGACAACCAGCGACATGGCATGTGTCTCTATCTTGAACCACAGGGCACTCTCTTTGCAGAGGTAAGAGCATTTAGCTAAGGAAGAATTTCAGCCGTATCTGAAATTATTACATTGCAGAACATTTTAAATTTTTTTTAATGAGCTCCTAAGACTGTTTTCTGTTCTGAAATTGGAATTTATAATATACCAATTATTTGAACTGCAGGTTACATTTTTTAATCCAGTCATTGAAAGAAGACCAAAACTTCAGAGGCAAAAGAAAATATTTTCAAAACAGCAAGGTAACAGGTTTTTTACTAGAGATTAACAATAAGTTGGGAAAAAAGTGTGTGTGTGTGTGTGTGTGTATATGTATAGCTTTGTAGTACTGTCAGGCAGAGCTAATATATAATTGCATGTGAAGCTGGTAATAGTTAAATCTTGTCTGTTTCTTTTAGAATTGTGTATTATTATGCAATAGCATTTATTGATGAACAGTTAAGAATTGCTAAAGAATATGACAAATTTAGTTTGTTCATCATAAACTGATGAATATTAATTTTTTTAATTAGCTTTTGGTAATACATAAAGAAATTACTTGCGCTCTATTTTCTTTATTCACGATATCCACAGGCAAAACATTTCTCAGAGCTCCTCAAATGAATATTAATATTGCCACTTGGGGAAGGCTGGTGAGGAGAGCTATTCCTACAGTAAATCATTCTGGCACCTTCAGCCCTCAAGCGCCTGGGCCTGCTACGGTGCCAGTGGTTGACACACGCATTCCTGAACTAGCACTGCCAGCTAGGTAAATGCTTAAGCCTTTTAAGCAGGGTTAATGCACAAAAGTAATAATGAAATGCCTAGATGCTAATAAATGGAAAGTCTTCATGTAGCCTACAGAATGCTGACACTGTTGGGACATCTATAATATTTTTTGTATATTTTAAAATTAACGTGTTAAATAGTTTAAGAAAATCTACCTTTAATATTAGTAGAATAGTCTCTGTTGTACACTGAGAAAAGTGTTTTTGTTTTCCTGTAAGTGACTCTCCTGTAACCAAATTGGACTTTGAACTTGAACCTGAACCCCCACCTGCTCCACCTCGTGCATCCTCCCTTGGAGAAATATGTGAACCTTCATCTGAGATAAAAGCTCCAGATACACCAGCTCAGGCAAGATGCTTCAACTACATATAAAAAGCTAGAGTTTAATATTTGTATATTTATAGTTGCATTGTTCTTTTTAAATTGTTCTTTTTACCTTTTCACAAAACACTCCACAATTTATGTGAGCAACTGTATCAATGAAATGATGCAAATTGTGCATGAAGCATGCATACACACATGGATTTTTCTATAGTTGCAGTTTAGCCAGTAGTCGCTACAGAAATAGGTTTTACCACCAGCCTATCAATAATAGAAGTTCTTAAAATCTAGTGTTTAAAGGCTGTTTGATCTTTTGAATTTCATATTATTGAAGTAAAATAAAAAACCAGCAGTCTTTCCTTAACGCTCTTTTTGTTTTAAATCTTCAGGTTTTTATTTCTGCACAGGATGCAGTAACACCTTTTGATTTTGAAAATGACAGAAATAGTATTGTCCCAAAACTCCAGCCCGAAATCATTTGCGAGCGAGAAATTCCATGCTTGGACCCTGAGTATACTAATCTACGAGAACCAGAAGATAAAAGGTAAAAATGTAGTATTTTTGACAATGCCTTTTTTTGTTAAACCTAACTTGAAGTTTTCTGTAATTCTTAATTAATTGCTGTTTTGCAGAACACAACAGAGATTTCAGTTTAGTCTTCAGGATTTCAGGTGTTGTGCTGTACTCGGTAGAGGACACTTTGGGAAGGTAAATGTTTGCCTATGAGGATATTAAGAAAGCATAATGCAACTGTTTGAATAAATTGCTTATCTCTTATTTCAGGTGCTACTGGCAGAATACAAAAATACAAATGAGATGTTTGCTATTAAAGCCTTAAAGAAAGGAGATATTGTTGCTCGTGATGAAGTAGACAGGTCAGTCTGAAGAAAATAACTAATGCATTCTAAAATGTGTAACTTACTCTCTAGTTACTGTTTTCTGTAAAGAAAAATTATCATAGACTTTTTACAAGAGTCTTGTTAAGAGCAAATTGATGGTTCTAATTTTTGTATTTAGCAGAGGAAGCATTTGTTTTTCAGTTGAATTAAATAAAATTAAAAAGTTGTACTATGGTTAGGACTACTTAATGGGTATAAGTGGCTGCAGTGGAAAGAGATTTCCCACTGTCCTTGCAAATTCGATTTAAGGTTCCTTGTATCAGTTATGAGCTGGCTTTATATTAGTAGGTGCAGGGAACCCTATTAATAGCCAGTTCCTATAGGCAGTATAGATACTTTCATCTTGGGAGACTTTCTGAACACTGGAATATTTAGTCTCCTTTCTTTTCTCAGAGAGAATATACAAACTATATCAACACTAGGAGGAATCATTATATCCTGGCCTATTGCACTTATCTTATCAAGAAGAGTTGCATAAACAGCTATGGACTAGACATCGTGATGATGATAAAAATGGAATTCCATGTCACTGTGTTATAAGCCTGATTTCTTAGCTCAGGAAACTGCCATGATCTTCAGAAGAGTAAATTGGAACACACCGAGAAATAGGACTAATGACCTGGGTCAAATATACTAATGTATATATTCTGGTTTCTTTAAAGGAATAATGTTCTCTAAGCAGCGTGAAGTAAAGTAACTTTATTAGATTGGCGCACTGATCTCGTTCTTTCCAACTATTAAGAAATCCATTCCTAACTTCACTTGTCAATATTCTGAGGTGTATAACAAAATGATATCAACTATTTACTTGGTGTTTTGAAAATAGTCTTTAATTGGCTGTCAAACAGAATAATCTAGGTGAAACTAAAAGAGGAGTTGGACAGTACTTTGTTTCCTTGTTGTTCTTGCCAAGAGGATACTGTAATTAACAGTGTTTTAGAGGAAATGCAGTTACTAAATGAAGGGACTCAGAAGGAGCTTCTTCCAGTTCTTGCCGCACTGATGAGCTTCTGTAGGAGGGCAATCACTTTGACTTTTGACATTTAATTATTTGATTACATTTAAGTATAACATTAAGAAAAATTATAACATTTGGTTAAATCCCAACAGAAATTCCTCTTTATTTTTTCACCCTTAAGGCTCTAAAAGGAGGTTTTGGCATACTTGGCATAATTGCCTCTAAAACTTTCATCAAAGCTGCTTGTCAAAACTGGAGGCATGTTTGAGACTTCTTTGAGAAACAAGCTAAAGAATTCTGTTCAGTTTAATGAGGAGTTTTGCAGTTAACTTACCTCTTGCCAAACCATGTGGCCAACTTAATAGTATTTTAAAGGTTTCATTCAATGAGAAATATACCAGAGCAGGGAAACAGTTGCAGTGCAGGAGTTGGATGCTGAGATCATCATCATTGGATAAATCATTATTCTTGTAATTCTCAGCCAAAAAACCTCTTCTCTGTTCTTAGCATTAACTTCAGTTGTCTTTTTTTCTTTGCCATGCAGATATACGTTGTATTGAGCAGAAGTTAACCTAATCTGTTGCTGCCCATTTACTTTTTTGTTCCTTTTTAAAACTGTTTCCTATAGCTAGTTCCACAGGCTTGTTCATATCTAGCATGTTCTAGCAAATAAACTTTTTTCTTTTCCTGCACCATTGTATATTTCAGTGACTTCTGTGAATCAGCCTGTAAGATTTTGTAACATCTGGTCCAGCAGATTTTTTTTTCTTGAGACTGTAGATACTTCTTCGTCTCTTTCTCCAAGAATTGAAATCCTGTATTTGTTTTGAAATCAGTGTTGAAGATTTCACTGTTGAAGAGTCCCCTAGTTTTTTGCCTTCAGGATGGCTGTTTCTACAATGGTTTAATAAGTGCTGTAGTGTTACGATGGGCAGAAAGAAAGAGCTGGGCTAGGTACAGACAGTCAAAAAGCCTGAGGCTGAATTGATTCAGTCTTTGCAGGTTAGTCTTAAGATGTATAGATTAAATTGAAACAAAAGTGAACAGACATTTTAACTCGGGAAATACAGCCACATGCCTGCAGTGGCTCAGGCCAGAAGCCCAGGGGTGCTAGAGCACAGCTCTCTAGCTCTGTTTACTACTTCTTCCTCCTGCCCCTGAGGTCTCTGGGATTTGTAATCCAGAACTACACCAGCAGAACTCTGCAGGGTTGTTCATCACTTCCTCTTCCTGGTGCCTCTGGGATTTGTAGTCCACAGTTGCAGCCAGCAGTAAGTTTGAGTGGGGAAAGAGATGTTTAGCCCTCCCCCTTCGTGGCCCCACACCCCAGCTGGGGTTTGCCTGGGAGGGGCAGCACCCCCCTAGACTCCCCCTCCCTTTGTCAAACAGCCCTCATTGCTCCAGCGAGGGAGCAGAGGGCTAGGGCTATCCCTGCTCTCTGGAGCAGGCAGCACAGCCCAGTCCAGGGCTGAAAAGCATGCTGGGATGCTGGGGGACTGTGATTTAACTTGAACCAGGAGTCTGGGACAGAAGTTTTAATAAACCAGTTTGACCCAAATCAGTTCAGTCTGGTACTACATTCAACCAGGTTTATGTTAAATCGGTTTCAGCCATTTTGAAACTGGTTTATGTGCACTAAACTTCTGTTCTGTTACAGGTTTAAACCAGTTTCTGATCGCTTACACTTCGGGGCTAGGGACAGAAGTCACACAAACTAGTTTAAGTCCGCAGATTTATGGAACGGTTGGGAAGCAAACTGCAGGAATGATGTTTTAAGTGGCTTTCCTATATAAGTCTGTCATCTATTTTTTTCTGTTTTCTATTATGGATAGATATAGGTAGCTAGTGGTAGAGATCTGTTATCTTAAATATTTTACTTGCTTTTAAATTTCTGAGCATGCCGAGGAAAGTCCTTTGAAAACATATCTGTACTAACGTATCCATCATAATTTTTTTTGAAATCAGCAGAGTTTAACACTTAAAATCATGCATAAAACCTTTTGAATGTGACCCTTAACTATCTAATTAACATCAGGGTCTTGGGTATGGTTAAACTTTTTTTTTGTGAATCCTATTTGTATAATTCTCTGTGTATTTAAAATCATAGCATAGTATTCAGTATTAAACTTTGATATTAAAATAATTCTGGTTTGCAGCCTGATGTGTGAAAAGCGAATTTTTGAAACTGTGAATAGTGTACGGCATCCCTTCTTGGTGAACCTTTTTGCCTGTTTCCAAACCAAAGATCATGTTTGCTTTGTAATGGAATATGCTGCTGGTGGGGATCTGATGATGCACATTCATACTGATGTCTTCTCAGAACCAAGAGCAGTGTAAGTGTCGAGAACTATTATACCATTATGTTTAAAAAAAATCTTCAAAGATTAATCCTTTGATTTCTCCCACTTATTAAAAAGATACATTTAACTTTATTTCTGTATTAGATCACTTCAGCAACTATGGTAACGGACTGTAAATGGACTTAAGACTAAACTTTATTTGGTTAGGAAGATGCATCTTCATTTCATTTTAGTTAGAATGGTCATAAGCTATCACAACGCAAACTCACATGGCAGTTTGCTTAATTATAAATGTTTGGTTTTCTAGTACTTATTTGGAAGAAGCCATTATCTGTCATTTAAAAAAAAAAAAAGAAAAAAAAGAAAATGTATAATAAAACAAATAAAGTATCAACTTCAGTCAAATGTTTTGGTGCTTTCATAGATCTACACTGATATTTAGAAATGATGCCAAGTCATCCTCAGCCGGCTCAAGCTTGAGGTAGTCTCTTCCCATCGCATCTGACCTTAAGGCTGTAGCAAAGCCATACTTAATGTTGCTTTGTCCTCAAACAGAGCTCTTCTAGGAATCGGCTGAATAATTCTTCTTTCTGTTCTTAGCTCTAATTAAGGGCAGTAGAGACAGAAGGGCCAGCAGTTGGGAACAAGGAGTTGTAAGATTGCTAGTAGACTACTTGTGCTTGCAGCCCATAGCACCTGGGTGGGTTAGAAACCCACTACAAGAAGGGGAAGGCTAGAAAGTGAGCAGTAGCAGGCTGGACCTCAGATCCTGAAGTTCAGCACAGCTTCCAGGCTTGCTGCCAGATCAAGCTGAGGCATAATTCAGTATAGATGATCAGCTTTATGGGCTGTAGGGGAGACCTTGAGGTAGATACTTGGTTTCAGAGCCTTTAGACACTTGGTTTCAGAGCCTTAATTTTTTTTTATTCTAATCTTGCCAGGTAGTTTTAGTTTTGATTGATTGTATAAAGTCGGCATACATCACGTATAAAAGTCATTTAAGATAAGTTTGTATGTGCCACACTTCAGAATAAGTTGAATGTTAAAATTACAGATTAATCCAGTGTCAGTTTTGCTAAGTCCTACTTTTGAAATCTACTATATGTAACTTCAACTTTCAACTTCCCCCTCTTTAAACAGATTTTATGCTGCCTGTGTGGTTCTTGGACTACAGTATTTACATGAGCACAAAATAGTATATAGGTAAGTAATTTTTGATGCTTTCGAACATTTGAATTTTAACAAATTTCTCTCTAATGCTTGCTTGATCTCCAGCCAGTGATTTTTTTTTTTTTACTTACCCTAAACATTATCCTTTTGCTTTTCTATTCTGGCAGTTTTTTACTCTATGATAGAGTATAAACAGTTGCTAGGAAAAACATACTCAAAATTGAGGAACGTTTTTTGTTTAGTTTTTTTCCTTCCATAAATGTGTATATAAACTTTGAATGGACTTACTGATATATCTGTGGTTGTATTAATGAATCCATTTTTACTTTCAAATATTGTCTTTAGAGATTTGAAGTTGGATAATTTGTTGCTGGACACTGAAGGCTTTGTTAAAATAGCTGACTTCGGTCTTTGCAAAGAAGGTAACAGCATTTTTTTTTTTTTTTTTTTTTTTTTTTTTTTTTTAAATCACATTCTGTGGTATCCCAGGAGATGCAACCAATTAGATACAACTAACTCTGGACCAAATATTCTGAACCAGTAAGAGAGCCAAGGTAGCCAGCATCTACATGGCACATATCATGTAGATTTTTCTGCAGTGATATGAACAGGATAAATAATTTTATGGTCTTTTAACTTGGAAAACCAAGGTTGTAAGGGAAGCCCTTTGAGAGGATTTGAAAGGGTTTCCATTGAGGATGGGGAAAGCCTTTTTTCAGTTGTGGTGAAGCCCTGTTCCTTTTCTCTGCTGAATGTCTGCTGGGGTCCAAATAATAGCATGATTGTGATTTAAGGGATTTTGTCTCTATTCCAAAAACAGCATGTCCTGCCATGCCAGGTGAGCATAGCAGGATGCATAGCGTTTGGGATGAGGTATAAAATTCCTTTGTTACCAGTCGTGCAACTGCTCAGGCTGAACTGGAACCCAGAGCAATTTAAGGTGTGATGCAAGCCAGTCACAAAGATGTTCCATATAAAACATGGAAAATGTTTGTGGTTGGTTTGCCATTTCATAGTGCCACAAACTGGCTGAACATGTGACATATGCACTACACTTTTTAAAAATTCCTTAAAGATTGAATATCCTTTTAAAGCAACTCCAATAATTTAGACTTCAAAGTGAATAAAGAACATTCTCAATGCAGCATAGCTCGAACAAAAGGAAATCTCCTGAAACGGCACTTTCTTCTTGACACTTGATTTTTCTAGTATTTAGCTGTTGGAAGTGCTCACCTTTGGGGGAACAAAAACATAAAGCACATGCAGCACAAGTTGTTCAGCTTCTTTTCCTGGATTTAGGACAGGTGTATTTGCACCCCTTTTTCTCACAGCCCAGTGGTCTGGTTCAGTGGTAGAATCTGACTGGGCTTATTTTCTTCTTCTCCAGCTTGCTTTTCTTGTCCTGTAAGCTTCAGCCCATTACAAAGAATTTACTAAATGGTGGGCAGTAGATCAAAGCTTACAGTTGTTTGAACATCCAATGACTACGGTCTTACTTTAAATAAAGATTTCAAAGGAAAAAGAGACTACGCAGGTTTTCTTACGTTTTTTAATCCAGAGGGCTCCAGACTCAAACTCACAGGGTTAGATTTTTTTCTTTGCAACTAACCTTCAAAGTTCAAGTTTGCATCCACATCATCCTGCTGTTACGTTTGTCCTTGGTGCTGTTGCTGTATTGTTAAACTTGCCCTTCCTGGAAATGTAGTATGTGGAGACAAACATGTACTTCCCTTGATCTGCAATTTATTCAAATGCATGTTTTTTCAAATGCACTCTTGATCAGTAGTATCATAGGGTGCCTATAGACGTGCGGGACACTGCTCTGACACACTGTAATTGCAGCACATCAGAGCAGACCTGATTGAGTCTGCTGGTGTGTTAATTGGCACACTCCAGCAGCCTTGGCATCTCGTATTCAGTATCCCTGTACTTCAAAATGGTGGTGGGGGTGCTTTAACTAAACCTTGTTGAATGAGCTTTAGTTAAAGCAACCCTGCAACCATTTTGAAATGCAGGACACAATACACAAGACATTGCAGACACCTTTAATTAAAGCGGCTTTCAGGAGCTGCTTTAATTAAAGCCCCCCCGCCCCCCCCAACCCCTAGAACACGTGTAAAAATGCCCATAGTGGACAGATAAATAAAGCTGTCTACAGTACCACCAGGTGCCGTATCATGGCAGTTTACAAAGGTACTTATTATAGTACCTTATGTTGCCTTCAACTAAATTCTATACAAACTTTCTGACTATGGAATATACTAGAATCTAGTAAGACCACCTTAGTTTCCAAAGTATTGTCCTGTGGAAAATGAGTACATAAAATGAGCTTTTACTTGGGAGAGCTGCTTTTTGTAAGTATTAATCTGATGTAGTTAGTAGCAAAAGTATGCGCTGCTTTTTATTGTACAGTACTTCAAATGACAAGTGGGTTTTGTTTTCTTATCATGTGCTAAGAGTGTTGTGTACTCTGGCTATGTCTATGCTAAAGATGACAGTCAGAGATGTGCTCCTTGACTAACATAATCATGTTGGCAAAAGCCCCTACTGTAGATGCTATTATTTGTTTCAGTGCTGCAGTCTTTCTTGTAAAGCTTGTTTAGCTTGTGGAGGGTTCACTCTCTTAGATCAGTAGAAAATGCAGTTATGCTAATGCCCGTGCCCTTACTGGGAACACGTTGTCAATGCAGTATGTTTAGTAAAGCGCAGCGCTCCTGATACACATGTAGCCTATGCTCCAGTTTGTGCGCATGGATATACGCAGTGCTGTGACAAGACTGTAACTGAAAGCCTAACATTTTATTATGGGTAGGAATGTGCAAAAAGGAGAGACCACTTGACTCCGGCTATGGATGACATTGGTAGAGCTGGCCAACAGAGCAGTGTGAACATTGCTTCAATGCTGAATTACTTCAAGTTGTCAATACACAAATGTGAAAACCCACGATATAACTTGCAGTTGCTTTGAGGAATAAATTGTACTAACTGAAGTGTTTAGCGGGAAGTGTAGTGGCATGAGGTATTGCTTGTTTTTAAGGAAACTAACTTTTTCAGGAATGGGATTTGGAGACAGAACAAGCACGTTCTGTGGCACTCCAGAATTTCTCGCTCCTGAAGTATTGACGGAAACATCCTATACCAGAGCTGTAGACTGGTGGGGTCTTGGTGTACTCATCTATGAGATGCTAGTTGGTGAGGTAAGTACACTAGCAAAAACATAATGCCCACGCAAGACATGGGTGTGGTGTAAGCAAGTCTAAATCTTAGCATGACACTAAAAGTAAAAGTGAAGTACAAGGTTCTCAACTTTTTTAGAACATTCTACCCTTCAAGGATAAGTCTTTGGTATTGTGTAAGCCTTGTTGCACATCTTATATGCTTGGATGTTTTCTAGTGTGTTTGAATGGCAGAACAAAAAAAAGTACTATACATAATGTGGCAAATACAGAGCTGGTGTTAGCTGCTACACTCCCACTTATTTCAGTAGATCTGTGAAGCTAGAACATGAGGCCAGATCCTCAGCTGGTGTTGAACTGGCTAAGTTAGGGTTTTGCACCAAACATAACATCTGGAACATTTTTACTTCCATTGCCATATGCCTCCATGCTAATGCTGTGTTAATGTAATCCTATTTAACTTCAGTGATTTTCATTTTTCTATTTAACCAGATACCTTCATACTAGCTTGTACACCTGATATTACAGTTTTTTTAAAAAGTCAGTCCTCTGGCCTGAATACAAGCATGGAAAATTTCAGAAGTTTAAGCTATGTAATCTTTTTTCAAATCCCTCAAAAAGGGATAAGGTTAGAAGAGTTGAAATTGCATTCTTCCATTACAGGTTAAGGCAGAGTTCAGAAGCTTTGTATAGGTATGATGCAGGATATGCTTATTTTATTTACCATTTGACTTGCTGTCTCCATTTTTTAATGTTCTACCTAGTTTGTTTCTTTTTTAATAGTCTAGAAATGTTGTGCCATATGCAATGGCAAATGAGAAAGTGATTTATACTGTTATAACCATCACCTTTTCCTTCCTCCCTCCCTCCCTCTTTGCTGTAACATCCTTGGAGCCAGTGCAGCGAGTTTTTCTATTGGAAAATACTTGGAAGTATTTGTTTATAGCAATCTTTAATACTCAGAGCATACATATGCTAAAAAGTTAATCACAACCTATTCTTCTCCTCCCCCATCTTTACCCTCTAAAAATGTCTTTTTGAAAGTGAAGCTGAACCAGCACCATGTGACTTACAAATCTTCCATAAACCATGGTTTGATAGTTAGTTACCTGTCCAGCATGTGGACAGGTAAAGGTTTTACCTAAATGAATTAGGGATGAGTACTTCACTAACAAGTTTCAGCCATCCTAAAGGATGAATAAAGCAAAGCTTTATCGCATTAGATTGGATATTTTTTTTCCTAGTTAACAGAAAACTGTTTTAGAAGTGCATTATTAAAAGGCTGTCTTATATTTTTTTTTCCCTCTTTAATAACCATTTAATTCTTTTTTTATAGATAAAATCTTGTAGCTGGCTGCCTGCCTGTCTTGAAAGAAAGGAAAGCTAATATATCATACATTTCCCCTCCTAGAATGCTACATTCTGCTGTAGGGAGAGATGAAATAACTTGCTGTTTTAGGTTATCTAACTCTCTAAATTAGCAGTAAATGTAAATACAAGTTGGTAGCACTCTATTTTAGGCGAAACGGTTTATCTTAGAAACTTAGTTTTGCTAAACTTTTTTTTCCTCTTTATAGTCTCCCTTTCCTGGAGATGATGAAGAGGAGGTTTTTGACAGTATTGTAAATGATGAAGTAAGATATCCACGCTTCCTTTCTACAGAGGCCATCTCTATAATGAGACGGGTAAGGTTGTATGTAACAAACAAAAGTATTCTCTTGTTACCATCTAGTATTTTCCTTTCTGTGAAGAGTTTAGTTTGTGGTGGGCAATATACTTTGACAGGCGGTGCCTACATTGACTCTTTTCCTGCAGGAAGGTTTCAAATGAAAAATCTTTATTTTACCATCACCTTTTCTTTCTCTAAAATGTTATATTTCACTTTACAGCTTACATAAACTTTTTATTCTCTTCCCTCTGATCTGAACCAGATTTCTCCAGAGCCACTTCCCTGTACAAATTGAGCTAGGAAATTCAGGCTGCTTGTATTATAGCCTGTTTATTCTGTAATACCAGCACCTAATTGTTCCCTATGCACTGCAGTTTTAAGTGCTAAGTTCTACAAAATGTTTTATTAGTTGCTACGAAGAAATCCAGAGCGGCGCCTTGGAGCTGGTGAGAGAGATGCTGAGGATGTGAAAAAGCATCACTTCTTCCGGGTGAGTATGAGTTAATGTAGCATATGAAACCATCAGCAGCTAGAGGCAGGAAACTAATGGCTAATTGATTTGTTTTACAGCTAATAGATTGGAATGCCTTGCTCGCCAAGAAAGTGAAACCACCTTTTGTGCCCACCATTAGAGGAAGAGAAGATGTTAGTAATTTTGATGATGAATTTACCTCCGAAGCACCTATTCTCACTCCCCCTCGGGAACCAAGGATACTTTCAGAAGAAGAACAGGAAATGTTCAGAGATTTTGATTACATTGCTGATTGGTGTTAATTTTGAGACACTGTGAAACCATAGCTAACACTCACAAGAATGCCTCTCTCAAAAGAATACCAACCCTTCAATTGCTCTCTGTGCCACCTGTAGCTTCTGTTTTTTTTAATCACATGAAGATTCTTTTAAAGTACTGTTGTGAATAGTCTTGCAAAGAGTGGCCTCTCTCTTTTCTGAGCACTGGAAAGCAGTTCTATGGAGTTCTTAAGCTGAGTTGGTGAATACAGGCCGTAAGATGGGTACACTTGGATCTGTACTGTATCTTACTCTTCTACAGCAGATAATAAAATACCTGTCTTAAGTGGGGAAAGAAGATTTTTTTTTTTTTTACTACACTGATGACCATTTAACTTTATTCAGCCACATTAAATAGAATTTTGGGATGCTGTTGATATTCACAAAGAAAATGGTAAGATGCACAGAAGGCAAATGCTGGCAGTTTTTTTAAATTACTGTAATGTCCTGAAATGTGTAATTTTACAGACTTATCTTTGTTTTTTAAAATAATGGAAATTAAGAACTGATGCCTTGTTTTGTAAATTTTCTATGGTATTTATTAGGGGGAAAATGTTTAAATGCCTTGCTTTGATATATCAGTTTAAGTGCTTCCATTTAAAAAACCAACCAATAACAACAACAAAAAATAATATCCAGAAAGTTTACCAAAGCCACTTGCCAAACAGTTTTTGCCTTTAAGTTGTGTTTTTATGGATGGCATAAAAAAATCCCAAGTTAAGATGAAGAATGTAGTATGGGAATGTTTGTCCAGTCTTAACCATAAATAGTGTATGAACATATATGCATTCCCCATGTCTATCCAATTGTGCATTCTTGGAATTAATGCCTTTTCCACTAATTATGAGTGGACAGATACCCATACTGTGTTTAGCCATCTAGATCATCTTCTATCTGCTGTACATGATCATATCATTTTTTTTTAAGAAACAAGGATTTTCAATGTATACATGTATACTGTGAACATGTATATTTGGAAGTTGTAATGTATTATGTCCAGGCATGTAACTTAATTTTACCACTTCATTAATTTTGCACAGTGGTCATGTGAACACAATACAGAACTCTGATTTAATAGAAAAAACACTTGTATACAGTTTAGGCCACTGAATTCCAGAATGTAGATTGGCAGTTTAGTGAGGATAAAAGTAATATGTTGTAACAGAATGTATAAATATTTTTGATAAAACAGTGTATATTTTATAAGTATCTTAACACTAAAACTGTACCTCAAAAGTAGAAAAACAATTTAGACCAGATTCTGTGCGCGCTTGGGAATTCTGTATGACCTATTTCTGGCACTCAGTGTTCTGTAGGCAAACGGTCACTCCTTGGAAAATAAGTTTCCAGTGTTTTCCTCAGCTCACTAATAAAAACATTTTAGGTTTGATTCTCTACTTAGCTGTGCAGGTTCATTGTAGCCAACAACTTGCAGAAGTGAGTTCAGACCCTGGAATTGATTATTCCAAATAAGCTATGTAATAAACACTGAAGCCATGTTGTTGTTGGGGTTTGGTTTTTGGGTGTCTTTTTTTAAAGAATGGAATAGTGCAACACTAAGGTGTTACTCGGTGATATTTTTTTTTAAATAAATAACTGCTGGACAGAACACTAGGTTCAGAACTCCTCCTGGTAATGGTCCGGGGAAGAAATGAATTAGTATTTCTGAATAATGTGTAAAACACTCTACCTAACACGAAGGCTGGTGGCATTTTACAAAATATAGAAATCATGTTGGTTTTACAGAATGAATTCTTCTTTAGAAAGTGGGAGCAGCACAGTAACTTGTTTAAAAAAAGATACTAATGAACTTTGAAGGGAGAAAGAAATTAAGTTTCTTTTTTTTTCTTTTTTTTAATTGAAATGTTAAAACACTAAATGCTTTTGAGGTACAGTCTGCTTACCTGTTTTGGTTCCAAAAAAAAAAAAAAAATATATATATATACAGCATCTAAGAGGGTGCTTAGCATTTAAGAAAGCACCATGAAAAATACCTTTTTGTACTTACATCTTGTACAGAAATCTTTTTTTAATCTAAGTAAATCACTAAAAAAAATTAGAGGGCAAGGGTATGTTCACACAGTTAAGCTGAAAGAAAGCACTAATTTTTCTCTCCTGTAGGTTTGTTTGTTTTTTTTAATATTTTTAGGCAGATTAAGATTTTAAACTCTAGATTGTAAATATATTTTGCTATACCTTTATCTGTATGTGGCTGCTCAAGCACTTTGTAAGGAAATTAGGATATTTTAGAATGGTACACTATGCATTAAAACGAAATGTGCCTTTTAACAATGTCATTCTAAGTGTTTTGCAGTCATTAATATCACAAATTAAAGTTTAAATAGAAATTTGGAACTTGTGTCCCAAATCCGATTTTACTTATTGAATTTGGTGTGCGGGTTTTTGGTAGCTTCAGTGTTTGATGCATCCGGTCTATGGAAGGAAAGGGAGAATCTCCCCCTTCTAATAGGCACCATGCCCCTAATAGAACCATGGTTGTCACTTTCTTGCAGGAGCAGTCCCTTTATAGAACACAAGTTGCATCCAGATGAGTGCTGCTGTGCAGTATGTGGTCCCCCAGGGAACCAAACATCCACACATGTGGATGGGGCTATAGAGTGTGAAAGGGAATCTTAAATACCACCCTCCTTGACAGAAGTCTGAGAGCAGAACAGGGATTAGCTTGTTGAACATCCCATCTCTCCCCAGTAGGTATTTATGCAAAACTTTGGGTTATGTACTTGTGCATTCTTCCTCTGGTTTGAGGAATAGGGTTCATATCCTGTTTTAACAATTAAGAGCTGCTTCTAACCAGGATGGAACTTCATACAACCAAGTAAGCCTAGAAGGATTTTCCACTACCATACTAAAGCAAATCATAACTCACTATTGATTAGAATTAAAAGAATAGTTTGGTTATTAGTCAATAACACATCAGTGAAGAAGTCATTGCCACAATAGTGTTTTGTAGACATTATGGCTGGAAGGGACCTCATGAGATCATTGGGGCCAGCCCCCTGCCCAAAGGGCAGGAAGTCAGCTGGGGTCAGATGACCCCAGCAAGGTAAGCATCCAGATGTTTCTTGACAATTTCCAGTGTAGGTGCTTACACCACTTTTGGGGAGAATCTATTCCAGATTCTGGAGACTTTCAGAAGTTTTTTCCTTATGTCCAGTCTAAAGTGATCTTCCAGCAGTCTGTGACTGTTGGACCTTGTCTTCCCTTGAGGTGCCTTGGTGAACAGAAGTTCTCCCAGATCCTGGTGCACACCGCTTATGTACTTATAAGCTGCCACCAAGTCCCCCCTAGGCCTTCTCTTCTTCAGGCTGAAGAGTCCCATGCCTCTCAGCCTTTCCTTGTAAGGCCTGCTTTCTTGACCTCTAATTAACTAGTTAAAGGGTTTAGAGAAACTTCTGAGTAAATAAGAAATTCAGCCATTAGAACAAGTTCTTCTATACATTTGTCCTTTAAGGCCTTTTCCTAGGGGTAAGTTCTGTCCCACTTGAGGAGTATTAGCTTTTCTTTTCTTTTCCCACCAGAGTAACTGCTGCCATTTTAAGTGAGCTGGATGTTTTTTTCCCCCCCTTTAATCACTTATACTAACCTCTAGGCTAGGATTCACATGGCTTGTATCTTTTACTGAACTAACTGCTTAGTTGGGATTGACTTAGCCTGAAGAAAGATGCATTGCATTCAAAAGCTTATCAGCCCTTTATACTGTGAGCACCTACGGGGACTAACTGTTGTGTGGTACAGAACAGAACACCTTTTACAAAATTAGTGCAAATTAAGCAAAGCCAAGCCTAACTTCAGTGCTTGAAATATAGCAAAGTAGAGCTTTACTGCAACCCTGACTTCCCTCAGGAGCTATGAAAGGTAGGTTGTATTTGCTATGTCTAAAAACACTAACACTACTACCATTGCAAATCTAGAGGCTCTTCCACTTTGCTAATCAGGGAAGATGTTACAACACCTGATGTCATCAGCTCAACCTAGAGAGCCAGCTGACTCTACTGCTATTGTCCAGCTTCTGGAGCAGTAGGCTTTTTGAACTCACTAAAACCCAAAATCTTGTTTAGAAAGAGCCCCCAGAAGTAAAAAGAAATGGGTGTTAAATTAGGCAGTAGTTATCAGGGTAACTTAAGTTCCCTTTCCTAAGAGAAAGGTAAAAACAAGATCACTTGTTTTCAAACAGGGCCCCAATCAAGTTGACCTTGTACACACTTAACTTTGCTGGTTTGTGTACAAAGTTTTTAAAACAGAATATGTAAAATAATTGGCATCAAGATACGGTTTAGGCTCAGGACAGCAGTTCATGCCAAACTGCTTTCACTTCTTTGTTATGCTTAAACAAATTGTTAGTCTGACACAGTAGCACTCTTGTAAGAAAGGTCCCACAATATTTAGTTTACACACAAGCAAGGGATGACACCTGTGTATCAGAACAAGGGCCTACATAATTTAAGCCCCTAAAATCAGTTGGGATTCTAAATTCTATTGAAAAAATAAGTTTAAAATTGCTTACAATTTAGCCAAACAAGGATTTTATGCCTTTCTTACTCTTTTAAATAAAAAGAAAGGCACAAGAATGATGAATAATTAGCAGAGCAGTGTGTTAAATTCTGCATCTAGGTATTTTACTGCTATAGCAATGATTTTTCACTATACCTGAGACAGCAGAGACTAATTAGCTGCAATGGTTGGCGAGATGTCATACTTACCACCTTAAAAATCAACCACCTACTGTAGACTACTAGTTTAAAGTGCATTTCTGTTTAGTACATCAGCATAGTGCATAAAGTACATACCAGATAATGTATAGAAACTAACTAGAATATTTATTCCTACTTGACATTGGTCAGTCCAGAAAACTCATAAAAATTCTATCACTAATTTTATAAATGCTGAACTAAGCACTAACCTTACTCTGTTTCAGAGTTAAAGGTCATAGCTAGATAAATTCTTTTTCTCCTCCTTCCACAGCAGTACCCTACAAAAGGATACAATAAGGGGAAGTTGGGGGTTTTTTGTTGTTGTTTGTTTTGGGGGTTTTTTTTACATATTTATACATATCTAAAGATCTAGTAGCAGATCCCCAAGAGATTAGTTTGTTTTAATATTAACTGAAGTTAAAACAAAATTGTCATTAATCCTTCAGACAAACATGGTTGTGTCCTTTGCATTCCACAGAAACATGTTTCTCATTAAATGCTTCAGTCTAACTTCACATCTTCCATCACTTTTTCTTGTCCTTATCTTCCCTGTAGAGTTAAGGCAGCCCTTTACACAGAAAGCAGGCTCTTTCCACCTGGGCCCTGCAGCTTAAATTTACCCTATTCTCTGCTGCAAGCTTCAATTCTCTGGATTGAGGGAGGGGCAGGAACTGTTTGCAGAATTCCAGGAAGAGGCAGGATTCCACTGCAGGCACGATGCCATGGCCCTGCCTCTAGTCTTTCACAAACAGGGAGAGGACACTGGATCTAATGCCCTTTACAGCTGTGCTATGGGAACTTTTAACAGCCATGAGTAGTCAGAACTTCAGTGGCCAGTAAAGCATTTACAATGCTTTTGAAGAATAAAAAAAAAAAAAATACTGAACTTAAAGCTGTTGTATTTTGAGGGTCTCAACTGGCAGAAGGGGATTAAAATTAAAGCAGCAAGAAAACAGTCAAGGCTATTGACAATTAGTAATGTTAGCACTGGGCACAGAGCCCTCCTGTGAATGGATTAGGACCAGATGTGTCAGAGGCTGACCCCCCTCAGCTGTTCATTTTGATAATTAAAGTAAATCTTGCACCTGTGATGCAAAATTAGCTCAGAAACCAGAAGACTGTTGGTAAAGTACATTTGCTGCTTTGAACACAAAGGGACACTGTCAAGAGGCATCCCATTTTGGAAGCAATTAGTTTGGGGGAAGGGAGAACAAACTTCTAGCTTTTAACTCTTCAGCACCTGGAGTATCATTTCAAATGCTGAGTGCTAATTTAGAATGCAGCAGTGTCAAGAGCTTAGCTGGTGGACATCCACATTTAAATACGATCTGTCATTTTAATCTATATGTTGAAGTATTTGAGATATTGGAATTAACATCTTTTGTAGTAGACCAAATGTCACAAAGTTGCCAGTGAAGTTCAATTAAAGCAACAGCCTTTTGTAGTTGTCAAATTCACAAAGGCAGGGTGCGTAGCCATCCATGAGAAGCAAGGAGGATGTGCCAAGGATATGACTAATCTTTTCATAACAACATGTTAAAAAATCTTCAGCAGCAGTTGTGCAAATATTCAAGCTGCTTTTCGCCAACTGTTTGCACTCTGGGTTAAACCTTCTATACTGTAAATTGCAGCTAACTACAAATATTAAAGCTACGCTAGAGATTAAAAGTTGCCAAGAACGCAAGTGTGGTAGTTTCATACATAAATGAGTTTTGTTGCAAAGGTACTTAAAGAACTCTATTATTACTACAGATTATCATCAAGTTCAGGTCATTTGAAAGGAATATACCCATCTCAAAGAAATGAAATATGCAAGGTGGTACATGTTTTTGGAAAACAGTTTATTTGGGAATTACATCATTTCAATTTTCCAAAATACGTTTTACTAGATCCCTACAAAAGAAATCTAAATAAGTACAATATGAAATTAAGCTTGTTGTAACAGTCATTAAATATTTACTTTCACTAATATATACATACAAAATGCCACACATGATTTTGTTTACCCTTGGAATGTGTGCTGTGCTCCAGCAGTTATGTTTGCTCTTCACATCCTTCTCCAGTTCCACAATATGAAGGCTCAGTATCAACACTTTGTACATCCTTTCATATAGGCAAAAAAATCATAAAATGTTCTTTAGAAATTAAGCTTAACCTTAGTAATTTTACAGCTGTGGTAGTTTGTCCACAGGGGTATCGAATTTGAAGTCAGCTGGGAAAAGATCTGGAGCTCGTGGATAGATAAGTCTGTAAGACTGCCTGATTGTAACATCAGCAACCCCAGCAGTATCTCCGATCTCTAAGGAAAACAGAGAGGCAAGGTTAAACACAATTTACTATTTTCTCTTTTGCTGTCAGGCCAGGAGAAGCCAGCAGAGCTTGTGCAGGTAGTGGTGTGCTTACCTCATTTTTCTAAAACTGGATGCAAAGTTATTTTTTTTCCAACCATTTGTGACCCAATAAACGTATGAAAAATTTTCCTCAAAATAGGCATGTTTCAGTGAAATGGCTAATTCAACATGAGCTGATTTAAATCCAAAACATAAATGTCACAGAAAAGGAAAAGACATGCTGAACATTTTGATTAGTCAATTTTTAGACTGACAACTGCATTGCAGGCTCTTTTTTAAAGAAGAAATT